TATATATGTGTGTGTGTGTGTGTGTGTGTGTGTGTGTGTATACATATATACATTATATATATAGACATATATTATACATATATATGCACACAAACAGAAAATATAAATAAAAATGCATCTATTAGGAATAATTAGGTAACGAATGAGTAACATTTGAAGCTGTCAGTTGGATAAAGGGCTGTAAATGACCTTATGATTATAATAATTTGGCAGGTTGTGACAAATTTACCATTTACCATATTCTTGAAGGTATTAAGTGGTTCTGTTGTCTTCATTGAAGTGAAACATATAAAAAAAATCATCAAATGATAAGAGAGTTTTATTACAACAAAGTCATTTTGGGGATTTGTGTATATGTGATGCTATTTTGGAATGAAAATTAATTTTACAATAGTTGTACATCCATACAGAGAAAAGTGTTAGAAAAGTGTTATATCTTGTGTTAGAAATGCACTACTCTATCTGTTTGTATAAACCTAAAGAAAATCCCCAGAAATTCAGACACAAGGCAAACAGAGAAAAAAAGAAGAAAAAAAAACATTGGAATTTTTTCTCAGATCTTCAGGGTTTTGCAGCAATTATTGTGAAGTGTTACCAGATGTCTCGTGGTGGAGGTTATCTTATCCTTGAGCTTTGCTTTGCTTAAAGCTTTCTTAGATTAAAAAAACAAAAACACCATGCTACCACATGGCAACAAACTATGATTTATGATGCCATCCACAAGGTACAGCTACATCAGTAAAATACAAATCTGACTCTCTTTGAACTTTTCTCGAGCTCTACTCAGTATTTTCTCTGGTGAGTTTATTGACAGCCCATCCCATAGTGGATCACATTTCAGCTTTCAGCCTTTCTTGGACTGAACGATTTTACCTTAATCCTCAAATTACGCTGTAAATGTAGCTGTATTAGCGGTTCTTTTCTCTGTATGGATGAAATATTTACTTAAACAGTCTTTTTTAGTCATTCAAGGCAGTCTCAGTTATTTAACCCCAGGGTGGTTTTGATTTTATCCAATGGCATTTGAGAAAGACAGCTCTGTTGTTTTTGGATGAAGCAATATCATGCCACGTTTGGTCTCGAGCAATTTTCGGTGTGACAGCTTAGATTTTATTCAGAGAAACATGCAAGACTTGTTTCAAAGCCAAGTCTTCAATACCCTCGAGAATGGGTAAACTGCAACGGAAGCCTGTGCTACTAAGCACCGGTTGTTCATTTTAAAGATAGGGATCAGCAGGCAAAAGAGTGCGGAACACACATCTGGGAGGTTTGATGCAACGTACATGAGACGTGCCATGAAACACAAAGGTTTGCACCGGCAATCTTAATTGACCTTCACAAAGTCAGCACATATAATGTTTAATACAGCATAATCTACATCGTGCAGATGATTTGAGAGTAAAAGCAAAGCACGGAGCCTGGAAACACATGATATGGTGGAAACTTTGTTCGTGAGGCAAAGTGGCAGGAAAAGTCTGGCATGAGATGAAGATGGCAAAGTCTGCTTTCTCCAGTCTGAGGTGACAAAGAGCCCGTAAAGTCCCAGCAGGAGGTGTAATTGAGCCATAATGAAACATTTTATTGTCTAGTAATTGTGTGATGAAAAAAGAATAGCATTAAAACCAGTGCAAACACACATATGCACTGGCATGTTGCATGCTTGCATTGGTATAAATTCTCTTTGAAAGCTGTAGATGCTGTCCAGTCATTGAGATTTGATTGCGTTCTTGTATAACTAATGTCACTTTAATGACAGGATCGCAAACCCACGCGGTGTTGTGTGGAAGCCTCCAGCCCTGTAACTTGGAGTTCACGGAGGCTTTTAATAATGAGGGACCTGTAGATTTATGAAACAACATTTTGAATTCAGTGTGCGGTAGGGCAAGAGCACAGAGGTGGAAAGAAGGACTGAATAGAAAAACAGGTAAGGAGTGGAAAGAAAACCCAGCTAACAGGGAACGTTCTCAGAACGTTCTGGCTAGGTTTTCTCAAAGTTAGGAATACACGATATTCCGAGAACGTTAATTGAACATTCATTCAACGTTATCTGGTCTTTAACTAGCATTCTCAAAACATTAGCTCAAAAACATTATTTATACATCATTTATGGAACGTTTTTCTAAAGCATGTTAGATAGACTTTCGTTTGTTTAGAGAACATTCAAAAGTAACATTCCCATAATGTTTGCAAAATTATAAAATGGAACGTTTGCCTTAATGTTGTTTAATGCTCACATAACCAAGATCGTTGCCCAAACCATCGAACCGGCATGAACTTTGACCTGGCCTTCACCAAGCTTCAGCCAATACTGGGCTGGCATGCCGTAGACATAAAGACAAATGGCCCTATCAGTGCAAAGTGCCAAATGACTAACAGGTGTGTGGGGTTTGGGGGGGGGTTGTGTGGTCAGACACATGTGGTGGCCCTTGATAAGCTGCTCTGAAATGAAAGGGCTCATGTGTGGGTGCTCAGTGGAACAGGGACCTCACCTCCAGCTGAGAGAGGAAACAGGTTGGTTTGTTCCAGCTATGAAAGAAGCATCTTTCACACAACCATTATCCGAACTTGACCATGACTGACAAGTGTACTCAAGCATACAACCAGCATCCAGGATACTTTTCAATTATGGTTGCCTTGTCATAATATGGAAAGAATTATCATAGATGATTTGGACATGAGTTCTTTCTCAGCGTTTTTGCAGTATTGTCATCATTCATGTGTAAATGTTTTCTTTCTCTCCCAAGGTTATAAAAATAAATAACATAGATGCTCAGATGATTTCATCATTTAATTTCAAATTCTGAAGAATTTGATGATGATAAATGTTTGAGTTTATATTGAAAATTCTGGTATTTGTTTGCATAATTTGGTGTGTTGTCAGGTCTGAGCACATTGTATGACATTAAGATCTCTTTGGAGCTCTAGATGTTTACTACAGCATGCAAGTAGAGCAAATATCTTAATTTTTGCTCTATGGATTTTTTTTACTTAGTGTACAGAATACACTACCATTCAAAAGTTTGGGGTCGGAGTAGCTTTCTTTTTCTTTCTTTCTTGCTTTCTTTTTTCAGCAACAAAGCATTACATTGATCAAAATTGACAGTTGTCAGCAAACAGGCTAGAAATATGGGAGGGATGGAAGCACGAATGGCATTGACCAGCTCCTCCAGCATGTCCGCTGGCATTGTGTGCCGGGGATCCATCACCGCTGGATGAATGTTTTCAGGTCTGGTCTTCTGTCAGCAAACAGGCCAGAAACAGAGGTAAGTTCTCAAAACAACAGGTTTGACAATCGGGCAGCAGGATGAGAGGCAACAGTCAGAGGGTAATTCGAGGAAGTAATG